TCTTTTCTTTTCTTTTCTTTTCTTTTCTTTTCTTTTCTTTTCTTTTCCCGCAGGGGAGGGGATTGGTAGAGAAAAATAAGGTACTTGTTAATAACAAAAAATAAAATTTAACTTAAAAAACCTATCTGACCTTGGGCAAGTCTGTTAAAGTCATCTGTTCTCAGTTTCTTCATCTGTAAAATTAGCAGAGGGGTGGACTAGATGACTTTGAGATTCCTTTCAACAACTCCAAATCTATGATTCTGTTTCCATGAATTGGGACCAGTAAGATGCCTGTAAATACTAAACTGGTAGGGAGGGTTTTTCAAGGGCTTTGCCAGTGACTGCTTCCTTGCCCAGTACCAGAAATGTGAGAGAAATGAATGCACTTGGTCAATCAGGCCATTAGAACAAGGCCTCATCGCCCCCTGAGTTGGAAAGATCAACTCAGGCAAGCCTTAGAGGACAGTAAGACCCACCAGGACCACCAAGCATTTTTAGAGAGCTGAGTCACAGGGGTTGGAGGGCAGTTCTTGGGCTTATTACTAGCAGACTAAACCATATCCCTCTCTCTCGGCCTCAGTTTGCCCACCTGTGTAAGATCTTTATCCCTGTAAAGTGTTCAGAATTCTGAAGAAGAATGAGAAGACAGGAGACAAGCTCTGTAAATACCCATTCTAGCTTTGCTCAGGGTGGCCAGAAACACACCTCAGGCCACCTGGCCTGGGAGTCAGGCATCTGTTTTCCTCCTTCGGAAATGGGTTGTCTCCCTAACCTTTCCTATCTGGGGTAACGTGTAGTGGTGAGCAGTCCTAATGAGGCATTTCCTCCTCATCCCCAGAAGGAAATCCTCTGGCGTGCGCATGGAGGGGATGCTGCTCTATCTTCAAGATCAGTGTGAACATGTGTGTGTGTGTGTTTGTATACATGTGAGAGTTATGCAGAATCTGCTGTATGTATGTACGCATGCTCTGCAGAGAAGCATGTGTGTGTGCATTCTCTTCCAGAGTAGTGGGTGCACATAACCCCAGAACAGTTGAGGGGTGTGTGTGTGTGTGTGTGTGTGTGTGTGTATGTGTGCATGTGTGCACTCCAGCTGTCCTGGGATCATTTCACAGCTCCCCTGACCTGCCTCTGCCCTGTCCCCTCCTCTCCCTAATTCCCCTATGTCATCTTCCACCAAATGTGTTGGTGGGCTCTAGGTCAGAGGGTTGGACTGGGGCTGGGGGAGGGCCCTGGAATAGAGCTTCTGCAGGCGGACATTCCTGTGGGGAGAAGGACAGGCAGGGCCAGACCTAACCCTAACCCTGGTGACCTCTGGGTCCTGCTTTCCTGCCCACCCACCCTGAGGCTTCCAAAGGCACTCCAAATCCTCGTCCCTGAACCCAGAGTGGGGGAGGAGAGGAGCATGTACCCATGAGCGTGCAGAGCTGAGCCAGACCATTGACCAGCTAAGCGGGCGCAAGAGAGTTTTCTTTTAGAGGGAGAAATTCCAACAAGTTCTGACATGCTAGAGCTTTTAGGAGTTGGTTAGACAGACTCCTGAAGGCCAGGGTGAATGTGGGTTTGTGTACGTTTTTTGTGTATAGGGTGAAGGCACAACATGCCCATTCCCTTACTGAGTTACCCCAGGGTTGCTGAAGGTCCATAGTTCTCTTTGTCTGTGCCTCAACCTCCCAGTCTGTAGAGACTATCCCTCAGGAGGTTGGAAGTTGAACCAGACCAAATGTCCTCTGTTATTAGGTCCCCTTCATTTCCCCCCTCACATTTTTTACCTCCTTTTTCCTAAGTAGAGCAGCCATATTCATTTCTTAAAGACTGACGTGTAGTGGACACCAGTGTTATTCCAAAGGTGTGGCCATTGGTAGGTATGTACCAGGGGGTAGGCTTGGGGATGCCATGTCCTGGGCCTTAGTCCTAGCCTGATCCTTATCCCTGAAAACACAGCATCTTTTCCAGCCCTCTTCACATCCCTTAGGTAGGTTTGGGCAGAATAAGATGGTGGATTAAGAAGCTTAAGGATAGTAGGAAGGAGTCATTATTTTGTCCTAGAGATGGGTGGTCCTGCCTCCACTAATCATGGAAAGAATGACATCATGAAGTGGAAAAAGGACTGGGCCTGGAATCAAGAGGCCGAGGTTTGAGTTCTGGTTCTAATACCTGCTGGCTACATGACTTTAGGCAAGTCACTTAGTTTCTCTGAGCCTCTCTTTATCTATAAAATGGGTATAATAATATATTTTTTACTGTTTTTCTCAAAGAATTGTCAGGAAACAAGTAATAAGCATTAATTAAACACTTACTATATGCCAAGCAGGCAAAAAGAAAATAACCAAACCCAAAACTGGTCCCCTGACCTCAAGAAGCTCGCAGTTTCATGGGAGAGATAACACCAAAATAACTATGTACAGACAAAAGATAAAAGGTAAATGGAAGGTAAATGGAGCAAAGGCATTGTTTAGAGGGTGTGTATGTGTGGGGGACACCTAGAAAGGCTTGTTGCAGATGGTAGGATAAGGAGGTAGAACATTTCAGGCAACCAGCAAAAAGTGATGGCGTCCAAAGATTCCTGTGTAGGGAGCAGCAAGAAAGCCAGGAAGGAGCTTTGCAAACACAAATTGGGTTGTGTCATGGCTGCCTATGGTCAGGCAGCAGCATTTATTGAATGTCAACTTTGTGCATAGCAAAGTGCTATGGAGGACTTCCAGAATAAAGATGGCTCCCATGTTGATGTAGTGCTACATAATTTAGTACTTCATTACATACTGCTGTATTTCCTGTTTCCTATTCATCTTCTCTCTCTAGCTAGACTGCAGGCTCCCTGAGGACAGGAAGTGTTTCATGCTTCTTTTTGTGTCCCTTAGAGGACATAACACAGGGTGGGGCAAACAAATGATGACCTGGATGAATACTTGTTTGATTGCTTGATAAACACAAAGGATACAGGTATCTCTCTTATCTATCCCCATTTTCCCTTTCCTCAGCCATTATACTAGTGACAGGCCCTCATTATTACCCTCCTTAGACAATATCAATTAGCTTACTAATTGGTGTCTCCATCTCCAGTTAGTTCATTCTTTATTTCCTAATTCATCTTCTGGTTCATATTGTTTGTCCTTTGTTCTTGAAAAGGACCAGTGACATCAGGAGGGTAATGTCTTAACTTACATGAATTGGATTTAAGTGATGCAGAGCTGTGCAAAGTCATCATTAGCCTCACTTTCTCCTCCAGTCACCAAAGTCTAGTGGCAAGACATAGGTCAGGATGACTGGCGATGGCCCCGTCCTAATTCTGTAGCTTTAGTCACAGAATGTCCTTGCTCAGTACCTCCTGCTCTCATTTCCCTACTCAGTCTTATTTCTTATTCTTTATCTTCTGTGTTCTACTTATTATACATATACATATATATAATATATATATACTTACAATATATATATTATCCACTTATTCCATGTTCTAGTCAAACTGGATTACTCACTTTGTTTTCCTACTTCTAGGCCTTTGACCACACCTGTTTCCCATGTCTGAGATGCCCTTTTATTTCTGAAAATTGTAACCCTCCTATCTTTTGAAGTATAACTCAAAATCCATTTCCTCCATGGGGTCTTTCATGATTCTTCCAGCCAGAAGCATTCTTTCCTTCCTAGGAAACCTCATTATTCTTGCCTTTCCTTAGTACATATATCATGTTATAGTTATTTCTGCCTCTCATCTCTCCTATTAGATTGTAAGCTTCTTGAGAGACAGAAATAATTTTTTATTTATTTCTGTATCCTTAGCACTTAATATACACTGAACATAGAATATACTTAGTAAATATTTATTCTTTAATAAGAATGAATGGAGAAATATGAGTTTATGTTCTAATGGATGAGGCAAGATAAACACTCAAGTATGGACAATATAAATAGATCTTACCAACTCTGACTTTTCTAAGAATTACCTACTTGAGGTTCCTGAAAATGC